CGTTCTCTGTTCTGCATCAACAGTACTATTTTGTTTATGTGATTTTTTAGTTTTTGAAAGTGAACCAAATCTATTAATCTCCTCTTCCTTCTCTGCTAAATATTCTGACACAGTTTCTACCAAACACTGAAGCTCATCCATTGTATCAATATGGTCCTCCTTGGGCTCCTCAATAGAGGAAGGGGTTATCTCTTCTGTAGAGCACCCAGACAGATCTCCAAGTGTTTTTGCATCACAATTCATCCTTTGTAATGGCAATGCTGAATTTGCTACATAATATTCTTCAGGAAAATCTCCAAGATGGTGGACACTGGATGAATGCCATGTTGGTGACTGTAAATTTTCCTGCTTATCAGAAATGGGGGAACCCAGAAGTTCATCAGAAGTACTACTAGTAGAATCTTCAAGAACATCTAATGAGGTAAAATTAGTGACATGCTGGTTTGAGCCAAATGACTTTTCACAGTGTCTTAAACAACTGGACAGATGATAATCACGACTTTCCAACTTAATGCGCTGCAGGCCACTCTTAACCACAAATCCATTTTTGTAGGGGTACAAAACTGGGTACCCCATATTTTGTTTCTTATTTTCAGTATGGCAAAGGGTACAATTTTCAATATTAGAATATGTACTTTTGTAGTTAGTCTTAGTTTCAGATCTCTCATCATAATGCCTTCTTTCAGTGTCTTCAAAATAATTGTATAAGGGTTTCTTTTTTCTTCGTCTATCTAGTGTATCATATTTTTGAGGATACCTGGAGAAAACAGATGCTTCAACCTTAAATTCAGTAGAGAATTCTGTTTGTTGGCTCTGAGGTGGTGTCTTTTTCCTGTTCTTATACTTTGGTTGTTTCTGTTGGCTGTAGTATTTATCCATTTTTGAAAGGGTTCTAATTTCTTTTACCTCTGCTTCCTTCAAGTTTATGTTATTATTTTCTAGACACTCTTGTGATATTTTCCCCTCTATCTCCTTATGTATATCTTCTTGCTCTTCATAGTCAACATCAGAGAAGGCTGAAATAATCCTAATTTTTTCATCTTTAGCCCGTGAGCCTTGTCTGATGTGAAGGGATAAAATTGGAGGAACAATAAAGCAAAGAAAAAGGAAGAGACAGGGAAAAGGAAGAAAGAAGTTATAAGATTTAATACATGTTCAATGAGAAGACTAGAATAATAAAATTGCCAATGTGACAAAAAGTATTCAGACTAAAAAAATATGAAAAAGAAATCCACATGTTCTTAAATATTATATCAATGTAGCCAAATAGCTTATTCCATATCAGAAAAAGAACAGCTATAATATCAATTTTTAAATGCTTCAACTTGCAAATTTTCATTGGTGAGCTTTTTAGAATTCTTTTATTTTTCTAAGAAACAAACAAAAAAATTAAACATGTTGTACCAATATCTAGAATGTATTTGCAATATTAAAGTATACCATAAAAACATATCAAGGAATTTCAAGAAACCGAACTTTGCTGATAAATTTTTAGTCTAAAAAGAAGTCAAGCTGTTAACTTTCTGAAAGTTATATTTGAGGATGTATAGCCAAGAATATAGTCAAACATATTTCTTTTAATAAGAAAAAAATACATATAAAACATTTTTTTACTATCAGCAGAAGTCAAACTTCGTTATACTACAAAAAATAACAAATCATTTAAGGCATTATAATTTTTTTTTGAGATGGAGTTTCGCTCTTGTTGCCCAAGCTGAGTGCAATGGCACAATCTCAGCTCACTGCAACCTCCGCCTCCTGGGTTCAAGCAATTCTCCTGCCTCAGCCTCCTGAGTAGGTGGGATTACAGGTTCCCACCACCAGGCCCAGCTAATTTTTGTATTTTTAGCAGAGGTGGGTTTTCACCATGTTGGCCAGGCTGGTCTCGAACTCCTGACTTCAGGTGACCTACCCGCCTCAGCCTCCCAAATTACTGGGATTACAGGTGTGAGCCACCACGTCCAGCCTAAGGCATTACGATTTGCTGTTTGTGAAATCTAAAAGCTATATGCATTGAGGATCACAGTAAAAAGAAAATCTTTCCCTATACTGATTATAGCAGCAGAAGCTACATGTGAGACTTATGAATACTGAAGACAGTCTGACCTTTCTTTCAGTTAGGTTGCAGACTGCCTTCTTCTATGTACCAAGGTAGTGATGGAGAAAGAATCTACAGGCTAGGAGCTTATTAGGTCAGTGTGTTCTTTATAGATCTAACATCCAAAGCATTCATTTAGGAAACAGAAGCAAGATCAAAGCAGACACTTAGTCACTAAAAATCTTCCAGAAGGCCAGGTGCAATGGCTCACACCTGTAATCCAAGCACTTTGGGAGGCTGAGGCAGGAGGATCACTTGAGCGTAGGAATTCAAGACCAAACTGAGCAACAACGCAAGACCCTGTCTCTAAACTCACCATGTAGCAGTTTGGTGAGGTGGGCAAGAAAAGGAGATCATCCTATGGTCTGGTGAATTTTTTATTGATTGACTGACACAGAGTCTTGCTCTGTCATCCAGGCTGGAGTGCAGTGGTGCAATCTTGGCATACTATAGCTTCAACCTCCCAGACTCAAGCAATCTCTCCCAACTCAGCCTCCCAAGTAGCTAGGACTATAGGCATGCGCCACCAAGTCCAGCTAATTTTGTTTATTTTTTGTAGAGATGTGGTTTCACTATATTTCTCAGGCTGGTCTTAAGCTCTTGGACTCAAGTGATCCTCCTGCCTTGCCTCCCAAAGTGCTGGGATTATAGGCATCAGCCACTGCACCTAGCCAGTCTAGTGAATTTTAGAAACTAAAAGGATAAGCTAAATTGGAATGATTTTTTGAAAACTAACCTCCAATCAATAAAATAACTGATTCAGGCAAGCATCAATGGATGCTAAGATCATTGAGTAAAAGACTATTGGGGAAACAGAGTATTGATACAGTCTCAGGTATCACTTCAGATATTATTAATTATGAAGGAGAAGAGGTAACTTTACACTGGAGAAATACAGCATATACCAAATTTCTTAACCATGAGATCAAACTAAACATCACCAATAATAAGACAAAGTATGTGCTTCCTGAATGCATGTGAAGGAAACATCCACCATTTTTGCCAAAAATGTTTAACCTGATTCTAAACATGAAGAAACAATCAGACAAAAACAAACTAAGGGGCATTCTCAAAACAACTGGCCTGCACTCTTCCAAAAAAAAAAAAAAGTGTCTTAGGCTAGGCACGGCGGCTCACGCCTGTAATTCCATTTGGGAAGCAGAGGAAGGCAGATCGTTTGAGGCCAGGAGATGGAGAGCAGCTTGACCAACATGGTGAAACCCCATCTCTAACAAAAATACAAAAATTAGCCGGGCATGGTGGCATGCACCTGTAGTCTCAGCTACTCGGGAGGCTGAGGCAAGAGAATCACTTGAACAGGGAATGCTGAGGTTGCAGTGAGCCAAGATCACCCCAATGCACTCCAGCCTGGGAAACAGAGTGTGACTCTGTCTCAAAAAGAAAAAGAAAAAGAAAAAGAAAAAAAAAAAGCTTCTTAAAAGACCAAAAAAACAAAAAGTAATGAAATTTTTGCTAAATTAAAGGAGGCTAAGGAAACATGAAAACCAAATGCAATGCACCACAGTTCTGGATTGGATCCTGGACCAGAAAGGAACAAATATACATACAGAACATTATGGAGATAACTGGGGAAATTTAAATATGGTCTAAACATTAGATAATAACATTGCATCATTAAACTTCTTGAATGTGATCATGATATTGAGGTTATATAAGAGAAAGTTCTTTTTCTTAGGAGTAACATGCTGAAATACTTTGATGAAGTAATACAATATCTGCAACTTATTTGTAAGTGGGTTCAGAGAAAATGTATGTGTATATGAATACATATTAGGGAGAATGAGATAAAGTAAATGTGGTAAAATGTTAACACAACTGGTAAATCTAGGCAACATGAATATGGGTGTTCACTGAATTACTTCTCTAAATTTTCTTTAAGTCTGAATTTTTTTTTTAATCAGGGCAGGGGAGAGCACATATGTATGTATTTGCTTTTATACTCATAAATATATGACAATAGTCTAAGGAAGGATACATAAGAAACAACAGTAGGAAGGGAATTATGAAACAGGAAGAAGATGGGGTAGAGGAAGGTAAGTGTGGGTGGGAAACTCTTTATGCTGTATTGTACCTTAACATTTTTTAAACCACATAATTGTTTTATATATTTTAGAAATAAAATAAAATTAAAATAAAGTTCCAGTAAAAATACTTTTTTTTTTTTGAGACGGAGTCTTGCTCCGTCGCCCAGGCTGGAGTGCAGTGGCTGGATCTCAGTTCACCGCAAGCTCCGCCTCCCAGGTTTACGCCATTCTCCTGCCTCAGCCTCCCAAGTAGCTGGGACTACAGACACCCGCCACTTCGCCCAGCTAGTTTTTTGTATATTTTAGTAGAGACGGGGTTTCATCATGTTAGCCAGGATGGTCTCGATCTCCTGACCTCATGATCCGCCTGTCTTGGCCTCCCAAAGTGCTGGGATTACAGGCTTGAGCCACCGTGCCCGGCCTCCAGTAAAAATACTTAATCTGCTATAAGAAATCATATTGGTTTTCTTCTAAAGTTCCCAGGGAAATATTTAGGCAAGAAGGACTATCCAATCTATGATTTTTCTGTTTTTAATCTTGGCGAAGGGTATAGCAAACTCACTGAGTCAGGAAGTGGGGCAGATACACCCCAAGTGGGCCTGCCCTGATCAGTTGAGAATCACTGATCATAAAAATAAGTATTCCTTATGGCAATGTATAAACATTCCTTATGGCAATGTATAAACATGTGGAAGAGAAAAAAAAACTAATAATCTACACAAAATGACTGTAGTTTGGCCTGTGATACTGCTACCCTTCCGCTACCTCTTAAGGTTAAAGCATCCAAATTCTTGTTTCCAATTGCATCATGAGACCTGGGTATTACGAAGAGAAAGTACTTTGTGCCCAATACCCACCTGATGGCCCGCCGCTCAGGATAATCGAAGTCATAACTTTGCATAGAATCATTACAAGAGTCCCGGGAACTGCCTTGAAGTAGCAGCTGCTGCGGTAATCCCACCGGCACAGGGAACTGGTGCACAGAAGCGTTGGGCTGGGAAGTTGTATGGTAAGGAGGTGGGATGCTGTTGCTGGTCTCACTGCGATAGTCACTATCTCGGTCATCGACGGCACTATCAGGGTCTTCAAAAGCTATGGAATAAGCACATTCAATGAAAGCACCCTAGCTTTATTTAGTTCTTCAGAATTATTTCTGCTTCTAACTTAGTAGTAACAAGTCTGGACCTTGAGAACAAAAGCAAGCTAAGCTTCACGTGACCCCAGTGACCTCAGAGCCATGAGCAGACCGGTCTCAATTGATACCCACAAGTCTCTCTTCTTTATCACAGGAGATAGTATACTTAGCTTAATTTTAGTGCTTATTCTTAGAGGAGTTCCAGGTTGCATTTTCCCACTGCAGAATTCTTTGGAATTCTGCTTCTCCAACTATCATAACCATAATTAAAAACTGCTTTTAAATGTCACAAATACAGTCTGGTCCTCTGTTATTAAAGAAAGGGGAAGGGAGCAGAGGTTTAAAAAATTAGCTTTTCAGCCAGACGTGGCGGCTCCCACCTGTAATTCTAGCACTTTGGGAGGCTGAGGCAGGTGGATCACTTGAGGTCAGGAGTTCAAGACGAGCCTGGCCAACATGATGAAACCTTGTCTCTACCAAAAATACAAAAAATTACCTGGCCGTGGTGGTGTTCACCTGTAATCCCAGCTACTCGGGAGGCTGAGGCAGGAGAATTGCTTGAACCCAGGAGTCGGAGGTTGCAGTGAGCCAAGATCGCGCCACTGCACTCCAGCCTGGGTGACAGAGCAAGACTCCGTCTCCAAAAAAAAAATTAGCTTTTCATATCTTGGGAAAATAAACAACAAAACTTTTGTTTAATGTCTTGGTGTTTTCAGACTTTTAAACATACAGACTGTACCAAATAAGGTCCAACATCAGAAGCTGGTCCTGGAAATCAGGAGGGTCAAAGCCAAGGCTTGGAAATCAAGTCAAAGGCTCTAGATGCAGCTGAGAACAGTAGCACTCTTATGGTGCTGCTGCAGTGTTGGGTTTTTCTAACAATTCCTGTCAAGCACCTACACCCTAGGCTCAGAATTCCCATCCAGAGGATGGGCTGAGAAAAGAAAAAACATATGTGCTGCCAATGGGATCTTGTTGACAATGCAGCCAAGTTTATCTAACAGCAGTCACTACAATTTCATAGAATTATTTCTGCCTTTCAGACCAGCACCTGACTGGCTACAGTTTTTTTCTGAAAATTAGCTAAAAAGACCACACTTACAAATCACTGCTGTGCTTGGAAAGGGAGCTCAACCTAAGAGTGCTTTGTAGCCTATTTTACAAAGAGGAAGTCGTATCTGACACCATACCCTTACGTGTATGATTAATAGGGTTCCACATGTCCTTTCTTGACAAGTTCCTATTTGGTTCACAATGAGGAAAAGGAATGTTCACCATCTCAAAATGGAGATACTTTTAGCAGAAAATGAACTCATGTTATTAATTTTAAAAGATGATCTTGGCCAGGCGCAGTGGCTCACGCCTGTAATCCCAGCACTTTGGGAGGCCGAGCGGGTGGATCATCTGAGGTCAGGAGTTCGAGACCAGCCTGGCCAACATGATGGAACCCCATCTCTGCAAAAATACAAAAATTAGCCAGGCATGATGGCAGGTGCCTGTAATCCTAGCTACTCAGGAGGCTGAGGCGGAAGAATCACTTGAACCCAGGAGGTAGAGGTTGCAATGAGCCAAGATTGTGCCGCACTCCAGCCTGGGTGACAGAGCAAGGCTCTGTCTCATTAAAAAAAAAAAAAAAAGATAATCTTGTAGCAATGTGGGCAGTGAAAGCCTCCTGAAGACCGTAAGGTTAGGCTTTTACAATTGCTCAGGCAGGAAATAAGGACTTGCATCTATACAGTGGAAACAGAAAAGAGTTAAAACTAGAAACAGAAAATTCCAGACAGAATTGTAAAACATAGGGCCATATGGAAGATAATAGGGAAATGACCCCTTGGCTTCTGTTAGACAACCCGGTAGGATAAGAGTTCCAGTAAAAGAGACAGAGCACAAACATGTGGGTTTTATAGATAAGGAAGAAAATCTGAGCATTGGATTCTCGATAATATTTCTGGGTACAGATGGGAGATGGGGTAAGATGATCTTATGAGCTTTTCCTATTTCAGTTTATGGTTACATGTGAACATAAAAAAAGGAGAGGAGAGGGATTAGAACCCCAGGAGGAAAAATATCAACATGAGAAAGAAGCTAATGTTCAAATGGTCAGGAACAATTATTAGTAATACTTGACATTTGGAGCAAGTAGTCCACTGACCAGGGCAGGAGTAGTAAAGCTTGAAAACAAAAGCAAACAACAGGGATGCAAAGCATTCTGCTTACAAAGCATTCTGATGACATACGAGGAAAAAGAGACTTTGGAAGCACTGGTTTTAGTCCTTGATGCATCTGTTGTTCTGAAGACAAGAAAAATAGGACCCAGAGACAAAACCATATGCCACTCAGACTTAATTCTTTCTGAACCCACAGAAAGAGCAAGTCTGTAGAAGTCAGTGCTGGACTATTCATGCATACAGATGAGGGGGCAGAGGCAACAAAGGAGACAAAACCAGAGTTCTACTAAACTCTGGCAGGAAAAGTATTAGCACACAACCCAGAGAACCAAGATTCAGTCTCCAAGGAGGCAACCGCGACAGACAATCCTATCGCTTTTGAGGCCGGAGAGTGCAGCTCAGCCAGAGTTAGAAGCCCACGACCCAAATCCATAGGTTTTACTTTCTCCCTGCATGTGACCCATTACTCCTAAATAATGCTCTGCTTTTTGTTTATTTTGCTAGGCTAAACGGAGGAATACTCTACAACTTAACTAAAGGCTAACAACATTTCTACACTAAAGAAATAAAGGGCAAATACTAAGAAACAAAGCATCCATGGAAAGAAGAGGTTGGGAGTATAAGGTATTATGAAAAGCAGGAGAGGGCAGGAGAGAGAAAATACTAAGGAATAAAGTGAGACAAAGGAGAGAAACAGAAAAAAGCAGTGACAGGCAATCACCTCCAGTTTTCCTAAAAAGTAAAACCTCCTGGCACCAAGCCTGATTAGAAACTAAAAATGGAAATTCAGGAAAATGTGTAACACTTCAATTTGAATTAAATAACTGTGTTTTTAATGTGTCACTGACAATCTCTTACTGACTCCACAATTTACCCCACAGCACCATGTCGACTAGACAAGAAAAGCCCTGGCTTTACAGAGAGAAACTGAGTGCAGGTTTGGTTGGCTTAGCCTAAAAAGGAACTAGAAAGCCAGTTTGAGGGTAAAAGTTGAAAAGCCCCTGGTAAAGTCTATTTGAAAGATGGAAAATTAAAAGGCTGGGAACACCTATTCACTCAACTATTCACTAAGTGCCTACACATGCAAGACTAAACAACACAGAAGACTCAGAATATAGAGTCAGTCTAGTAGGAGACAGAATATATAGATACAAATATTGAATTGCTATACAAGGCATTTAGTACCATGAAAATGGCACAAATCAAGTGCTATGAGTTAAAAGTAAAATCACTTCCTGATAGGGTAAGTAAGGAAGCTTTACGGAGGAGATGGCTTTGAAGAACTGGTTCGTTTTTAATAGGTGAAGATTAGAGGCAGAGAGGAAATATCTTCCAGAATTTGGATAAAAGCAGTGGCATGACTAAAGGCCCAGTGGTGGGAAAGGCTATACATTTTTGAGAAACTGTTTTGTAGTTCATTTGACAGGTAAATAAAAGGACACACAGGAAATGATGGAAAATTAAAACCTGCAAAAGTAGGCTGGGAAGGTCATCTAACCTGGGGCAAACAAAGATGGGCCTCTGAGCACACAGCAGGCACTCAAACAAAATCCAGTGAAATACAGAACAATGAGGCACTCTAGTATGTGGTATTCCTGGATTGAGTCCTGGATTGGTCTTTAAATCCACAGCACACCTATTAATAGAACTTCAGCAACCAAAGAAAGGAAAGAAAATTCATTCACATTTTTTTCATGGCTTAGTTGCTTTTTCTACTTGAAAACCTTAACTTAACTGAGCTCTGTTAACCCGTTTATGCCTGAGGTCACCTACTCTTGGGGATGACCTTGAGCAGTAGGATATAAATAACTCCCACATGCTTAGCGTTCCACTAATGGAACACCAGGCATAAATGGATCAAGCTGCTTTTGAGTAGTTTCCTAATAGCAGAAATACTCAGGATTCAAATCACAGAAAGCACAGACTTCATGAGAAATTCCACTGACAGGACAAACTTTGGCCCCTCTTAATACCTACTGGATATCTAATCACTCAGACTCAACCAGATCCCGTGAGATGGGTAACACAACCAGTAATGTCAGCCTAGGGCTACATGTTTTGCCACAAAGAACTGGCCACCCACTCTCTAAGCTCTACAACAAAGGTGGCCTAGCTGGGCTGCTTCAAGGAAAGCCAAGCCATGTCCTCAGCCTCTTGTTTCCTTAACAAAAGCAGGTTTTTGGCTGAAATGGCATTCACAATTTGCTAGACCAATAAATCCGAGACAGCAGTCTGTTCTGCATATCCTCCCAGTCAAGAAAACCAGCCAAATCAGAATGCACACCAATTACCCTGACTCTAGTTCATCCTAGAATGAGCCTTCTCCTTCTGTTCACTGCACTCCTTAACCAAAGGAGAAGGCTACACTAGTGGGCTGATGCTACTACTTGCCTCTGGGGAATAAAAATTAGGAGATCTTGTCAGGATTATGACTGGGACTTTGGTTTGAAATTTGTAACACACATAAACACACACAAAGTTGTCTTGACAACCAGCCTGAAAGGATATAACATTCCACCACAGGTAACTGTCTCCTAAGATTTAAGTAGGAGAGGAGAGGGAAATGGAAGTCAATGCATGAATATCCAGCTTCACAGTTCAGAGGGAGTATGTACTTTGTGGGTAAGATCAAGAAAATGATAAGGAATTTCAATTCTTACGTACTCTGTTGCTCTCCCCAGCCCAAATAGGTCCAGTGACCTAAGAAAACCACAAAGAAGCAGCAGATAATTTTTGAAAATACTTTTTGAAGGAATTCAAAAGTCATTTCCCCATCCCAGCAATTATTATGTGCCTTACCTTACTTGAGCCTACCTCACTTGTATTCTATTAACTTTACATAACATAGTTTCTGCCTTCTACCAAACGTGAGACAAATCTACATTCTTGCTCTCTGCCATTCACTATAGAGAGACTAACAACAACCAAAAAAACCCACAAAACAACAACAACAAAAAATTACTTCTTCCATATTGCTTTAAGCCCTCTTCTGGTCCAGGTCTCTGTCAGAACATTATCATTTAGGAGTTCATATGTCTTTCCTTTGTCAAAATAAGAAAAATTAGATCTCTGTCTCTAAGAAACCCTTCCCTGTCTGTGTTCACCAAACCTGAGCCCATCACAATAGATCTGTGAGAAGCTAAGCCCTGACACCATGGGTAAGGGAGTAGTTCCCTTGTCTGGGAGCGAAGATATTCAATTTTGCTACTCTCTACTGAAAATTAAAAGGTCAAAGAATGGCAATGTTTATCTCTTAAGAAATTAATCTTCTAATTAAGTTCCCAGACAAGGGAACTACTCCCTTACCCATGGTATCAGGGCTTAGCTTCTCATAGATATATTGTGATGGGCTCGGGTTTGGTGAATACAGAGACAGGGAAGGGTTTCTTATAGACAAAGATCTAATTTTTCTTATTTTGACAAAGGAAAGACATATAAGCTCCTAAATGATGACGTTCTAAGAGAGACCTAGACCAGAAGGGGGCTTAAAACAATATGTAATAAACTAGCCTACTGGGTCCTCAAAAAGAGCCACTTCTTCTGAATTACCTATGAACTGTTAATAAAATCCAGTAAAACACAGAAGCTTTGAAGGACAGGAGAAAATTGAAAATATTTTTTATTCATTTTTCAAAATCAAAAATCTAGTATTAATTAAGTCCTATTCCACACCCAAATTGAATTTCAGGGAACTAATTGTGACAAAGAAATCACTAAAACTAGGCCTTTAAACTCAAGAAACAAGAAGTAAATAGCTCCGTAATTAAGAATATGGGTTTTTTTATTTTTTTATTTTTTGAGACAGAGTCTCGCTCTGTCACCCAGGCTGGAGTGTGGTGACGTGATCTCAGCTCACTGCAACCTCTGTCCCTGGGTTCAAGTGATTCTCATGCCTCAGCCTCCCAAGAACCTGGGATTACAGGTGCCTACCAACACGCCTGGCTAATTTTTGTATTTTCAGTAAAGACAGGGTTTCACCTTGTTGGCCAGGTTGGCCTCGAACTCCTAACCTCCAGTGATCCATTCGCCTTAGCCTCCCAAAATGCTGGGATTACAGGAGTGACCCACCACACTCAGCCGAGAATATGGGTTTTAAAGTCAATGTTTAGTTCTTCTGGCTCTGCGATTTACTAGCAATATGATCTTGAGAAAGTTATTATAGATATTTCCTCATCTGTAATATGAGAATAATAATAACATAAGTGTCACTGGGTTATTGTAAAGATCATACAGGAAAAAACATGTAAAATGCCAGGCACAGTCCCCGGATGATGGTGAGCAACTAGCATTTGTTGTTATTTTGTCATGTTGCCAGGTTTTTGCTTGCGCTATGGAGTCCTAATAAATAAGCAGTAGAAAAAAACCACAACTCCTAGAATTGCACCCTCTGACAGTCCCAAGGTCTGCTAAGGAATCTTCAATGTGGGGTCCAAAAGGCCCTCAAACTGGTTCTGAGTGTGTGACTCCCTTGAAAGTCGACAGAAAGACTCGAAATTCTAGCAGCATCAGATGATGCCAACCCAGGCTGTTTTCAGTACTTGAGCTAATCCTCAATCCTGGGCATACGGGACTACTAATCAATCACAGACTTTAATTTAGTGATACCCTGACAGCCAGTTTTCTTCCTATGTACTTACTTTATTCCAACCACCTGTGTCTCAGAAGGGATATGTTGGCTTAGTGTGCCATTTTAAAATTGTAATAATTTATTTAACTTTCTAACCATGGGGGAAGGGGAGGCAGGAAAAAAAACTCTCCTATAGAAGAGTTGCCATAGCAACTGCTAGAGTATAATTACTTCATTTCTTTTAAAAAGAAAATGGAAAAAAACAACGATCACATAGCACCTCAGAATATGTCTATCAACCTAGATCGCTCCAGGCAAGTGACTGCTGTTTCTCATCACAACTGTGAGCCCAAAGAAGCCTTTCTCTGCAGGACACTGCCACTCATCTTTGAGCACTCCACAGCACTCCACAGCAGTTTCTTATACATGAAAGTTCTCAGCAAATCTCTACTGTACTAATAAATTGAATGAGTAATCTGATCCCATCTACTGGGCCCATCTCTAACCTATGAAAAAACAAGTCACGTTCTCTGACAAGCCAGTTCCATACTCTCACCACTTTAGCTCAGAACCATCATAAGATAAATTACACCAGTTTAAATAAGCAAGTTTCCTTCCCTACCCCAAAAATGCATTAAAACACATAACTAGCCAGCAGAACAATTACTGAGGATAGTTAGGTTTTGCTAGGCATTAGTACTGAGAAAAGGAAGGAGAAAATGTCCCAGGAAAAGGAAATTATGCATGCAAAGGCATGTTCAGTGAGCTGAAAATAGTTCCAGAATATCTAGAGTGAGAGGCTACAGAATTATGAAAGAATCTAATGACTATGGGTCTTAGGTAATGTTTAGAAATTAAGTAATATGAAGGATTTGGAATTACCTGGAGGGCAACACAGAGCTATCAGAGCTTTTAAGAGGGGAAAGACAGGATCAGATTTGCCATTTTAGAAAGAGAACAGTGGAACAGTGTGGCCAATGGTGGTTGGTAGGGTAGAAAGGACTGGTGATTCGCAGGGAGGAGGTATCAGGGAGGCTCGTAAGGAGAATGGTACACTCATCTGTTGATAGCCTGGACTAGGGAAGTGGCAGAGTGGGTAGAGAGAAGGGGATAGATTCATGAGATATTCTGGAGGGAAAATGAATAGCATTTAATGAGTAAATAAATGTGGAAAGTGAGGAGAATAAGGATTAAATAATATTGCTTAGGTGTTTAGCTTGAGCTACTGGATGAGTGTGACATCATTCACTGAGAAAAGAATACAACATGGGGGCAGGCTGAAGGAGATGATTAATGCAGGGTTAGGTATATTGACTCTGAGATATCTGTGGAACATCTCAAAAGAACATGGCCAGTAGACAGCTAGATATACGGGTGTGGATGTGGAAAGAGATGTGGAACAGACTTGGAAGTTTTCAGACTATACGTTCCAATAAGGGCAGGGATTTTTCTGCTTTGTTCTTTTGCTGTATCCTCAGCACCTGATAATGCATGGCACAATGTAAAATTTCAACAAATATTTATAAATGAGCATAAATAAAAATGCAAGTAAATAAAAACACTAAGGCAAGAGTGCAGGCCAAGAAAAAAAAGACTATATGAAGCGGGGGAACCCTAAGGAACAACCACATTTAAAAAGCAAACAGAAATTGTAGAAAGAAGAAGAAAAAGAGTTAAGAAGAGGAGGAGGAAGAGGAACAATCGACAGTCCAAAGTGTCGGTGAGGCTGTGGAGCAACTGGAACTCTTGTACATTGTTAGCAAGAATACACAGTGAAGTCAGGCATGGTGGCTCTTGCTTGTAATCCCAGCACTTTGGGAGGCTGAGGTGGGCAGATCACCTGAGGTCAGGAGTTTGATACTAGCCTGGCCAACATGGTTAAACCCGTCTCTACTAAAAATACAAAAATTAGCCAGGTGTGGAGATGGGCACCTGTAATCCCAGCTACTCAAGAGACTGAGGCAGGAGAATCACTTGAACCCAGGAGTGGTGGTTGCAGTGAGCCAAGATCATGCCAATGCACTCCAGCCTAGGCGACAGAGTAAGACTCCAACTCAAAAAAAAAAAAAGAAGAAGAAAAGAAAGAAAAAGAAACGAAACTAGCTCCAAAGGAATGATAGAATTCAATTTATAACAAGTTTGAAAACAGGGAAAACCAAAAAGTTAGCTGGGCATGGTGGTGCATGCCTGTGGTTCCAGCTACATGGGAGGCTGAGGCAGGACAACTCACAGAATTCAAGAAAACATTTTACTTATGTTTACCCATCTATGATAGAGGATATTACAAAGGACATATTTGAACAGCCACATGAAGAAATACACAGAACAAGGTCTGGAAGGGTCCTGGGCACAGGAGCTTCTGCCCTGTGGATTTGGGATGCACCATCCTCCAAACACATGGATGTGTTTGCCAATACAGAGGCTCCGAAAATCCATAGTTTTGGGATTTTTATGGAGGCTTTATCATATAGGCACAATCAATAGTAGTATTAGCGGCATTATTTTTTGTATAAACAGAGTCTCACTATGTTGCCCAAGCTGGTCTCAAGCTTCTGGAGTGATCCTCCTGCTTCAGCCTCCCAAAGTGCTGGGATTACAGACATGAGCCACTGTGACTGGCCTGGCATGATCAATTGTTAACTCAATCTCCAGTTCCTCTCCCTTTCCTGAAGGAAATGGAATGGGGCTAAAAGTTCCAAGCTTCTTGGGAGGCCGAGGTGGGTGGATCATTTGAGGTCAGGAGTTCGAAAGCAGCCTGGCCAACATGGTAAAACCTCTTCTCTACTAAAAATACAAAAATTAGCCAAGCATGGTGGCAGGCACCTGTAATTCCAGCTACTTGGGAGGCTAAGGCAGGAGAATCGCTTGAACCTGGGAGGCGGAGGTTGCAGTGAGCCGAGATCACAGCCACTGCACTCCAGCCTGGGTGACACAGTGAGACTCCATCTCAAAAAAAAAAAAAAAAAAAAGAGTTCCAAACTTCCAAACATGGCTTGGTCTTTCTGATAACTGGCTCCTACGCGAAAGCCCATCAAGAGTCCCTCATTAGAACAACAGACATTCCTAGCATCCAAAAAATTCCAAGGGATTAGGAGCTCTGTGTCAGGAACCAGAGACAAAGACCAAAATATAT